ATCCTGCGTGAAGAACCGCGAAGCTCTGCATTCTGCGATGCTTATCATGTGGACTTCTATGTCTAAGTCCTTCTACAGCCTATTACCTTAAAAATGTTTCCTTTCTAGTATCTGAATAAATTCAAAGCCAAACTAAAAACCAGAGGCAGAGCCCAATACAGTCCAGAGGGGGATATTAACAACGACATTAATGCACAAATTTTAAAATATCCGAAGACCTGTCAGGTTTATTATCTCATAGACAGTTTCCTCTTCAAAAATAACTTGCCCATCCATGTGCACCTAGGGTTTCTGAATAACTCATGCTGTGTAGATGGTAGATTCCCCTAGTCTGTTTTGCAAACATCCATAGTTTTTTTTAAGGTAGCAAAGTAATCGGACAATTAACAGTTTTCTGCCATATACATCACCGCAGCGCCCCCTAACACCTGCTGACGTGGCAGAGAATCCAAAATAACTCTGTTAACCTGAGAAGTACATAATTTGAAAAGAAATCCTTTGCCGTCGCCTTCCCTCCCAAATAATAAAAACTACAAATACATTATTTGGGGACTTTCTGTGTTTTCCATGTCACTGCCATCTTAGGACAGGGCATCCCGTGACATTCTGATGGCTTCCTTCCACAAGTCTCATTGCCACGTGCACGGATTATCAAGACTGACTCTATGTACATCAAACACACTCCATTTCCAGACCAAAGCCCAGGCCACAAGGACCACAAATCCAAACTCACCCCAGAAATGAAAGAGCTCTGCACCTGCTTGAGGCAGAGGGGCTCAGACATCAGAGGGGGCGGGCAATGGGACGGGGGCAGGTGATCCAAAGGGCTCATGGCTCCTCAGGACTCTTTCTTCACTAATGTTCCACTCATAGCATCAGAATTACAAAAATGTCCCAAGAGCTCTGTTTTTATTCTGAGTAAATCAATGCGTGGTTGGAAAGCCCTCCAGGCTTTCTCTAGACCAGTAGTTCTCAAAGCTGGACCCACAGCGTCAGCATCACCTGGGAACATGTTGGGAATGATCGGGCTCCAGCTGGGAATCGAGTCCAGCAATCTGTGTTTTAATAAGCCCTCCAGGTACTGCTGCTGCTGGATTAAGTTGGAGACCACCGATCCACCCTGCTTGACATTCTCAAAGCTTAAAACAGGATAGATTTTTAAACAGATACTTCTGTGTGACTTCTGCTGTGTGTGGAAACCTAAGTAATTTGCCACCCCTTTCCCTCACTTTCTCAAACATCAAGAACAGCATTAATGAAAAAATTTATTTCAAAAGAATCAAATATATTTTTTAAGTAATACTGATTTCTCCTCCTATACATAGTTCTAAGGCAGGCAGTCACATGCTCAAATGCAAAATAAAATGCAGAAGAGACCTCATATATGAGGTGTAGAAATAGCTAAAAAGACTCCCCAAGAACATAATGAAAATTCCATAATATCGCTTAATGAACTGATAGAATTATATAAAACTTACTATGCTTTATGCTTAATATTTGTATCAAAATAAAATCTCTCTGTTGAACAAATTGCAAATAAAGTCTGGTCTAATACTCTGATTACTGAAACTATAGATATACGAATGTCTCTGGGTTTTCTTAACACTCCCATTTTAGAAGCTTTGGGCTACTATTGTATAACTGGGTTTAGGATTTAACCGCAGTTCACATTTTTAAGTCTAGATTCTTCTATTAGGTAACTCCCTTCAAAAAAAACATTTAGAAACTCCTGTGGCTGTTTCCTTAAAGTTTATTCCAAAGTAGGTATTTTCAATCGTTTCAAAAATGTTAAATGTTACATTAAAAGTTTGTTTTCAATCTGTTTAATCTGAGAGTCTAGTTCAAAGCAATAACAATGCCATTTTCTGCATGTGTTTTATAAGCACATTGAACGTTAGTAAAATTCACTTCTGTAACAATGATCTTGAAATTGATCATCAATTAAACAGGCATGAAAGTAGAAGTGTGAAGGTAGCAGCTTCACAATAAAATCTCAGCAAATATCCAACCTCAAGTAGATGGAAATGCGAGAAGCCCGATATAAGGAGCAGGTTGAAGACTAACATGCCGCCGCCTCTCGGTATCTTTATGACATGTACCGGACATCACTGAAGGGATACTCGGAACACGCAATCACAGGGAAGCCATTATCCATTATTTCTAACTGCTAGGTAGTTGGGGGTCAGGTGGCAAAAAGGGGAGAGAAAAATCAGATCCATTAGAACATTTACTTGAGATTTAGGAAGACACACAGGGTGGGGTTAGAAATTAAGGTTTTCGTATGCTAAGGGGATGGTTAGTTAGCAAGGAATAATGTCTGGTAAATCATAAAAGACAAATTACTACCTTTCTGGAGCTAGAAGGGGAAAAAAAGGTAGCCTAAATAACATTTTAAGGCAGCAATTTGTACCTTTCAATATATTTCGTTTTAATCTTGTATTTTTTTATAGACTTTTTCTGGGATTCCCTTTTAAAACTACAACAGGAAAAAATGCTACCTAAGTATTACAGGTGTCTCTTTTTAAATGGCTTTTTTCTTTTTTTCCAGTAAGTCTAATTTTCTTAATAATAGCTGAAATCTAAAACTTATCTTGAAATTGTTTTTCACCCCCTGGCTCTGAGGTGAGGTGGTGCTCTCTAGCCAAGGTATCTAGAGATACATTCTTATATGTTTATAGCTTTGCTCTTGAGATGTAGATACACAAAAAATATTAAACATGTAAAATCAGATAATACAATGTATTAATTATCTCAAAGTTAGAAAGTTTGGTTAGCTTTCTCAGCAATTTCAGTGCCTCCATAAACAAGGAAGTTATTTTCACAAATTGGTCTTGGAGATTGCTATGTTTAATTAGGTAATGCTTATTCCGTGGGAATTCTGCTTATTTTACTTTTTCTGCAACTCTTTGCACTGAAAAGGCCAATTGATGTTTATACCAAACCTGAACTTATTCTGGACTCTCCGATGAAAACCCCCCACAAAGCAGTTTGTTATTTCATACATACAAAACGACCTAGATAGAGAGCGTATCCGTCCGAGGAAAGAAAAATTAAGGTCATGTTAGTTTAAATGGTCAATAATTAACTACCAATGAATAGAAAACAAAGTTCTGCTGTAACAATTTGGCCAAGCACACGCCACAATGGCAACCAAAGCCCCCTTTAAAGCACACCAGAAAATACCCACCTTCCACTGAAGGAGGCTCTTCAAGTCTTAACAAAAATATTAATTTTTAGATCAGGAAAAAATCTTAGCATGACTACTTTATAAATCCTATCACCCAACAGAATTTCTTTAAGGTAAAAAAAAAAAAGAGAGAGAGAGAAAATCTTAGAGGAGCGCTGAAATTAAAAAGTGAAACGAATAAAAAACAGTTCTGGCAAGAAAAAGGAAACTTCCGAGTGACACAAAGAACCAGGGGTTAGAAAGACACATAAACAAAGAGCCTCACTTAGAAGAAAAACGATCTAGAAGAAAAGGAAGTTGGTGATACTTGGTACTATCCAAGAGCTAACAAAAAAAGGTTCCACCTGAAGCTAGTCTATAAAATAAGTTGTTTAAAAGTCTGATTTGTGGGCACTTGCTAATGTTTCCCATGTAACGCCGAGCAGCAGGGCTGGTGCTCAGAGCCACGCTCATTTCCGCAGTCGCTGCTACGACTCCCGCAGTCAGACTTGCGCGAACCCATTCACGAGGTGGCGCTTCAGCAACAGGTTTAGGGACTGGCTGGAGGGAGGGCAGCGAGTGTGACAGAGAGGGAGCTGGCCGGAGGCGGAAACAGCAGAGCAGACTCTCGAAGGGGCTCGCAGGGCAACACCATCCGGCTGCTCGAGGCTGCAGAAGCCGTAAGGAAATGGGCACTCGGACACTTAGGGCAGGTGGGGGACTAGAAAGTAGCTATTGTTTTTAGTTTCTTTAGAAATAACCACTTAGAAGAGGGATGTCACACTGTAACAGGTCCCTCATGCGATGCTCCCATCATCAATACATTTATATAAGGTGGTAGGGTGTGCACATGGCCTCTTTAAGCAAATATAAATATAAATAATTTAAAAACGGATACTTTTTAAAGGTTCAAGTATGGAAAACAGAAAATGAGGCGAGTACGTCATGACGAGGGGTTAACCCTGACATGACAGTTGTCTTCATATCACCCACATGCTTCTGAACATTTATCTGGCCTGTTACAGTCTGTAGATTTGTGGGGGAGGGGGAGAATCATCATCGACCAGAAAATGATTTTTCATGGACATCCTCCCATCAGGGAGACCTGGTTTTCCTCTGGGCTATGTCTTCGGTTCTGTCACACAGTTGGAAATGCAGAGCTACATGGGGAAATTTTTTCTTCTTTCCTGGTGACTAAGGTACACTGAGTGGCAGCTGGCGTAGCTAAGCGTGGGGATCTGACTCGCACGGAGAAGGTGTGGTGCTTGCTGTGCCTCGCCGGCTCTGCTTTCAGCTCTGATTTCTACTAACCATTCGCACCCTGCAGCCTGCAGGTCCTGTACCGCCGCCACGGACAGATGGACAGAAGGACAGCTCAGCGGGCGGTGCCCTTCACCTGCCCTGAAGCTTGGTAGCCTTCGGCTAAAGGCACGCTCTTCTCCTAAGCCATCTGAGGGGTGCAGGGGTGCAGGTGGCCAACATCAAGCAAGCCCCAGCCATGCGAGAGATGCGAGTTTCCTTTGCCCTTGCCACTCTCCAGCCCCGTGAAAAGCCTACAGCGGATACAGGGTGGCCTAGCCCTCCAAACACCTATTTCGGCATGGATCACCAGGACCCACTGGTTCATCTGCAACGTTTCCCAACCTCATCGTATTTTTTAAAAAAGTTATACTGTAGTTTCAAGATACTTCTGAAGTATAAGCTGTAGCACGAGATCAGGAAAACAGTAAGGACATGCATCGCTTCAAGTGTTACGAGACCACAAGTTTCAAGAGGGTAAATGTTTTCCCTTTGGATGCTACCAAAGGTCATTCAAAACAACTTTTAGACTGTAGAATATTTAAGATGGCTATTTAAAGTTTATATTTTTGTACAAGTTCAGTGAGGTTATTTTAGAAGAATCAAAAGACATGAAAAACAAGGGTAGTTTTTTGCCCCAGATTTTGATGAATTTTGATGCATCTCTGACAAACATCATGTTTCTTCTTTAATGATGTTCCTCAAATCAAACAGTGAGCAAAATATTTGAATTGCCATGTATAATGTCACATTGTAATGTAAACATCAAATAAGGTACCAAAATTTTTACTGGAGGGGGAAAAAACCTTAAAGCGGCACAATTCTTTTTACCACTGGAGGGGGCAGGGGGTGTGGGAGCCAGATTACAAACGTTTACACATGCATAGTGAGGGAAAAAAGATTTTACTAAATTCACGCATTTTTAAAATAGTTACCAAGTCTACTAAGCACCAACAATCCTAAAAATTTTTCAGCTTCATGATCTGTTTAAAAAAACAACACACTATCAAATTAACATTAAAAACAAGCTTGAAGTGTAGCTTGTCCAAAAAATAACTAAGTATGCCCATGTTTTTTCACATTACAAAAACAGTGGCATACAGATATACCTGCAAAGAATGCCGTAACTCTATCCTGCAGTGGATGGAGATGACATCAGCACATCATACGTGGTCTAAAACTATAAAAGTTTTAGAGTGCAGCATCTTGTCACAAAAAAAAAAAAAAAGCTGATAAAACTTAAAGTATTTAGAAGATGCTGCCCTTTATTTTAAAAAATTTTAAATGAATTTAAGCAAAAATAACATACATTTTGTACATAACTGGCCATTTCTGGTACAGAAACCCAGCATATGGTAATATTATTGAATAAATGTAAATGCTACTTACAACTTTTTTTTCTTTTTAAATACATTTTAGACAAACTTTTTTTTCTCTTTTTTTATAGTTGCACAATTAACCTCTTAGCTGCTAGCTTGATGCAAACATATGTAACAATACACAAATTTAAAAATATTTTTTATTCTACATAAAAGCTGTCAAAATTCCGACTCACGTCAAAAATGCAAAATAATGGAATATACTTTTAAAAAATTAGTTGCAAGTCTAGCAGCGAAGCAATTAAGTGAGAACATATTTAATATTAAAACAAAGGGAACTGTGCATCTATAGATGAAGTCCAACTATCTTAATTCTATTGATACAAACAGAAATTAAAACATTCTCCCTTGAGGCAAAAAAAAATAAGTGATTATTTAAAATAGGAGTAAAAGCCGTTGCTGCCCGCCGAGCTCCCCAGGCTGAGTTCCTGGAACAGAGACAGAGGGTCGCTACTCTTCTTGGCCTGCTCAGGCGGGGGCCTGGGCTTGGGGGGTGCCCGCAGAGCGCTGGCATAGGACATGGTGGGCTTGCTGCCCCCTGAGCTCTGCTGGCTGCTGCTGTTGGCCGACTCTGCGATCTGCTTGTTGGGCATGAGGGGGGGAAACTGGCCAAGATGCTGCAGCACATTATAATTGAAAGAACTGGACACCTCGAGGTTTTCAGACTTCAGTTGATCCTCAGGGGGCTTGACCGTCTTGGGTGGAGCTAAAAGCAGAAAACAGTGACAGCGATTAAGGTGGAGTCCAGTGATCCTCACACATCTCATTAGCGCGTCACAGCTGGTTCTCATCTCCAGGAACCCAGGGACAGGGCAGCCACAAGGACAGGCAATTTCTGCCCCAGAATGTCAAAATCACAACACAACTAACCAAACTTCTCTATCTTATTAACACTCAAAAAAGAGCTTACTACATGAACCGGAATGGCTGGTTTGCTTTTAAAACTCTAATTAGTAAAATTGGACATTTGATATTTATTATTTTAACTGCTCATGGTTTGAAAATGGGAACAAAGATGTCCTTTCTTAAATAAAAATAAGCTGCACAGGCAGACTGCTGGTCAAAGTAGCTTTGATTATTGACCTACGTTACAGTAGCACTGAATTTCATTTCTTAAAAATGCTACCTTTTCTTGCCATACATAAGTAAACAAGGCATAAGGTAAAGGAAAAACAGCTATAAACTTTAGTTCACGTTTCCTATAATCTGCCAGACTTTCAAGGTCCTTTAAAATTTCACTCTATTCCTCCTAATTTTACTTCCAACTAAAGAACACTATAATTTGTCTTCTAGCAATAAAGAAAATAATTTTATATTTGTGTAAAAGATATCATGAATGACATGTACTTTGGGCATTTGTTCAGGAACTTTCTACCTTATCAGCTCAAGTCAGACTTTTATTTATTTTATTTTTTGTTAATCCTCACCTGAGGATATTTTTTCCACTGATTTTTAGAGAGAGTGGAGGGAGGGAAGGAAAGGGGAGAGAGAGAGACATCGATGTGAGAAAGACACATTGACTGGTTGCCTCCTGCACACTCCCCAAACGGGGCCAGGGATGAAACCTGCAACCCAGGTACATGCCCTTGAACAGAATGGAACCCAAGACCCTACGGTGCACAGGCTGATGCTCTAACCACTGAGCTACACGAGCCAGGGCAGGGCAGATTTTTATTGATTTTGGCCAACAGCTATGCTTAAATTTAAGTGGAAAAAAGAATGAAATGATGTTGTCTTTAAAATAAATTATTACAAACAAATCAAGGAAAAAGTAACAAATTTCCATCACTGGTTTGTAATTTAGATGTTTTTCAGGAAATTCAAATATGATAATAGCAGTGTATTTATGTTAGACCTTTAAAATGACAAAGCAACCCCAGGCACAATACAGCTCACACATGGTAGGTACTAATGAGTGCTTAAAGATTAAAATGACAATGTCTTGCCAGAAAACAAAACCTAAATCTTTTTAATGCTTTTTGCCCTACCATGTCTATTGTTCTAAAAATATGCTTGTATGGCACATACTCAAAAATGGGTCAGTTACAGAAACAATGGATTCACATTCTAAAGATGAACAAAATTAATTTCAAATACAAAGGTTGCTACCAGGGCAGAAATTTGCCAAAGATCACAGGCTTGTTCCCAAAGATCAATGTCTACAGCCCACAAACAGGCTATAGATCACAGAATGCAAACAGTAGCATTCATTTCTTTACATTCAAAATACCCATAAAAAAAGAGGGAACAAAAGGAAAGCTAAAAGTGCATTCATGTTCGAGACTAAAGAGGAAGACGTCAGACATCACACCACACATTACAAGTTCAGGGCCTTGTCCATTCCAATGCCTTTCTATGCCTTTTTTGTTTTTTTAACTCTTCGGCCTTGGATTTCTCAGTTCATCAGAGTACAAGAAATAAACAAAGGATTTCTAAATCTCAAAATGTTAGACTTTACTGATTTCTCCCATGGCCAAACTCTACTGTGTCTCAAACTGTGAATAACTTTACTGACAATAAATCCTTGAAAACTGTTATTGACCTAACCAACTCCACCCCCCCCAACTCTGAAGAAAAAACCCCCAAACCCAGAAAACAAACTTTTCCCAAGCAAAGGTGAGTCTGTCTAGTATTTAGAAATACTGTTTTAAGTTCTATTACCTCTTTCATTCATTCACAGGTCAAAATGATCAAAACAAACAGTTCCCATATAGATAGATTCATTTACCTTCCAGACCATATATACGGAATCAATATGGTCCTCAATTAATACGTATACCCAAGGCCACCTATGAGCTATGACCATTAAATAGTGTTCAATGTGAGTAATGCAAATGGGGAGATGGAAGAAAACTCCATAAAGATGCCGTTTTAGCAGCCTGCCAATTCTGTCTTACCTATCAACTCTCTGGGCTGAGCTGTCCTACTGGATCCATTGCACGGAATGTTCTGATAGGGGGAAGATGAGGTGGCGTTTACCCAGGACTCCGGGGATAAAAAGTTGAAAGAAGATTGGTTACTGTGGTCCTGAAGCTCTTTACTCTGAGCAAGGCTGTCTTGAGGAGTGCTTCCTTCTTCAGAACAAGGCTGGACTGAGCTAGAGGAGATTCTTCTTTGGTACAAGGGCCGGCCAGGTCCTCTGGGTTCATACTACACAAAGAAAAAGGACATTTCATAAGTCAGTGGAACCTATACCCCCTTCCTTAGGTGCACAGCAATCTCACTGTTTTAAGTAGAAATTCTCAGAAATATCCCGCTTTTTATGAGCAGTGTCACCCCGGGCAGCTGACTTAACCTCTTGGGAACTCCATCTGTAAATGTGGCTTCATTATCCACAGTACCTACCTCTTAGGATTATTGTGAGAATTAAATGAGTTCAGCATGCACAGCATTTGTAACTGTTCCTGGCACATAGGAAGGGCTTGTTGTTATTTGTTTTAATGTAACATATAAAGATAAGATTCCATGTTAGATCTTTTTTTTTTTTTCTTTTTTCTCCCCCCCCCCCTTTTTTTTTCCTTTTAAACATATCTTTATTGATTTCAGAGAGAGGAAAGGAAGGGGGAGAGAGAGAGAGAGATAGAAACATCAATGATGAGAGTCATTGATCAGCTGCCTTAGCCCGCAACCCGGGCCTGTGCCCTGACCGGAAATCGAACCTCGATCGCCTGGATCCTAGGTCGATGCTCAACCACTGAGCCACGCATGGCCGGGCCATGTTAGATCTTAAATGACAGATTGGGATTGGCTTTTATTGCCTACCCCCTAATAGATTGGCTGTTCAGTGTGTAGTCATTACGATTCTGAGGAATCCTTCCTTTACCACTGTTGCTAGCAATAACTGGAAATCAGGCACTGGAGGTTAGATTACAAAGGAGAGAGATGAATTGGCAGTCAGAGCAGGATGCTTTTTGGGAATCTAAGCACAAGCAGATATTGTCAGGCCAATGAAATAGGGGAAATGAGGGTACAGGCACTGTGAGGGGAAGGCCATCACGGACAGAACCATCAGAATATGAACCAGGGAAGGGAATGGGTCTGGGCTGGCTGCCCCTGTGCAGACAGGCAGGAAAGGGCAGAAGGAGAACAATTCTCTTGCTATTAAGTGATGAATGCCCAGGTGGTTTCTGCATTTCTGAAGTCTTAGCTACTGGATGAGAAAGGCAAGAGATGATACTTCCACCTAGTCAGTTCTTTCTCTCATTCCAAGAATAATATCTAAATTCATCTTTACTTTTACTCTGCTTTAAAGGCAATTTTTTTCCAATGGTCAAGATCATTCTGAATTTGATTCTGGTCTTCTAGAATATTATCCATCCTAACTAATCAGCACATCTAAAATTTCTCTGTCTAGGTCATTACAGTCCGGTACTGAGTGGAATAAGCAACCTTTCTAAACTGTTTTATGTTCTCTATGGCAAGGCAATCCCCAGATGACTGATCAAAATAGCTTGTGCAGTATGTCTTTTCTTATCAGTGTTTGTTATGAAGATGATTAGCTCATAGAATCAAAATGAAGTGCTTCTTTTTACTACCAGGCCCCAAGTGTTTAGCCCAGTCACAGTCTGCAGGGGATCACATTCTAAAGTCTTCATGTGTGAATACTTAAGTATAAAATTAATGTCTGCTATGGCCTCAGAAGGAACAGGTTATAATAATCAAATCCCCTGCTGACACAACAGAACACTAAATACACTTGTGTGGATTTCAGGCATTAATTTTATAAGCCCTTTTTCATTAAATACTTAACATATATACACCAACAGCATAAACAAACACCTTTTTGCAATGAACAGATCTACGAACCACAAAGCTTAAATGAGAAAAACTAAAAATCAGAAAGCAACAGAAGGGTGAAATAAAAGGAGGCAATATTCAATTAAATTTTTTAGAAAATACATATCATTTTGTAGCTTCCAAACTGAAATTAAAAAAACAACAAAAAACACACAGTTGACAGGCACAGCAGGACTTATGGAAGTATGTGTCTCATGTTTGTAGCAGCTCCTAAGCAGCTATTGACAAAGATGAATGTGTACATGAAATATGAATTTCAATTCCAAATCACATGATTAATACACCTGATCCTTTATGTTAGAAAAAGAACCAAAACTTGAAATTGCTTTTATGTTCTTCAAATTAGATATATAAAACTGGAGGTTTTACATGTATATATAAAAGTCTACCGGTAAATCTATTTCATACAACATAGATGAAGGTAAATGCATGAAAATATGATTTGCTACTTTGGAATCTGTCCTCAAAGGAAATTCGAATATAGGCAGAGGAATCTTGGTGACAACTGAACATAATGATTTATATACCAAAATAAATTACATTTCAGCAGTTCTGTAGTGTTCAGCATACAGAACCTATACAAGTGTTGATAGATGTGCACCTGAGTATTTCGTTTTTCTTTGAGCCACTGTAATGGTACTGGCTTTTGCATTCGGGTTTCCGATTGTACGATGCTAGCTATAGAAACGGGATTGGTTTGTGTGTGTTGACCTTGTATTCTGAAAGCTTGCTAAATTCACAGCAGTCATAGGATTTTTGTTGATTAGTTTTCTGTGTAGATTCCTTGGGTTTTTCTACATTGACAATCAGGTTATCTGAGAACAGGGCCAGTTTTATTTCTTCCTTTCCAGTCTCTACACCTTTTATTTCTTTTTCTTGCCATACTGCACTGGCTAAGACTCCAGTACAATGCTGAATAGGAGTGTTAAGAGTGGACATCTTACCTTGCTCCTAATCTTAGAGAGGAAGCATTCAGTCTCTATTCATTAAGGTATGATGATCACTGTAAGATTTTTATAGGTAACTTTTAACAGTTTAAGGAATTTCCCTTCTATTTCTAGTTTTCCAAGAGATTTTATGAGTGGATGTTGTGTTTTGTCGAATGTGTGTGGGTTTTTGTTGTTGCTGTTATCTATTGATATAATCATGTCTTTTTTCTCTTTAGACTGCTAGTATGGTGAATCACACTGATGTACTTTCAAATACTGAACTAGCCTTGCATTCTAGACATAACCCTCAGCGCGGTCATAGTGTATTGTTTTGTATATTGCTGAATTCAACTTGCTAATGTTTTTGTTGAGAATATCTGCATCCATGTTCACAGAGATCAATCTGTAGTTTCTCTCTTTTGTACTGTCTCTGATTTTGGTATCAGAGTAGTGCTGGCCATATATAGTAAGCTGAGAAGTTCTTTTCTCTTCCATTCTCTGGAAGAGAGTGTAAGTTGATGGCATTTCTTCTTTATATGTTTAGAGGGACAGGAGGACAGAGAGATAAAAAGACAAAGAGGCTTGGCCCCACAGCTCCACCAAACAAAAATGGTTTTCCTCCCTTAGAGTTTTGGCTGGTACAGGGTTTTTGTCCTACTCTGTCAGAGATCCTGATTCTGGGTTCATCTCCATGTATGATTGTGTGTTTATAGATATTCATGTTAAATTGTGAAATCATTACATTGCATGATCATTATTTTCTAAGTCTACTGCTAAATATCTTTTTCTAAATATCAAAATGTGCTAAAATTTCAAAAGCCACTTAAGAAGGAAGAACTGACTAAATTCATGTATAAATTTCTAGTGTTAAAAGATGGTTGCCAGTTTAAGGAAAAATTCATAATTTGCTTATTACTGTCTTATAAGGTATATCTCTAATGTATAAGGTTAGCAAGCTATTTCACATGTGTATGTATAAATAAATAACTGGGGGAAAGGTTAGCAACTAAATGAATTAGGGCTCTATTTACAATTATACTATCAAAGCTAATCTAAGGAAGAGCTAAATGCTCTAGTGAAAATTCCAAGTCTCATTAACTATGGTGACAGAAACTTTAATTAAAATAGAACACCTCATTTAAATGATTAGCTTTGACAATTTAAGCATGAATAGAGGTCTAATTTATTAATCTGTTGATCACTGTCTCTGCTATGTGCATTAGATGGTTTATTAGATGCCATACATTAGCCATGTCTCTGAGAAGACACTTCTGAGAAGACAGCAATATTATCACTCGGTTACACAACACAAGTCATGAGCTGTCACCATCCACTTCTAAAGGCCCAATAGGCAGAATATGTCGATCAGCCAACAATATAAACTTCAAGCTAGATTTGCTCCATAAAAGGGAATCAGGAGCAGCGGATGATTAGACAACAGTATTAAAACCAAAACTATCAACTAATTTCAAAACTAGACTTGTTTGAAGGGAAAAAAGGGAAAATGAATAGATGGGTCAAAACTGTCTTTTGTTCAAAAGTCAACATATAGACAAGAAATATTTCTAAGCCTATACATCACAGAGGCATACATATCATCTCTCAGGTAAGTAAATGCTGATTTATTGAAAGCTGATCAAAATGAGTGACTTACAAGCGTTCCATTTTCAATCCAAGGTCATCACAACAATAGCACCACGGCAACACCAAACCCTGCAGCTTTATAAACACATCCTGGACTTTCAGTCCTGCCCGGCATGGCTCAGCTGGTTGAGCGTCATCCCACCAAAAGGTTGCCCATTCGATTCTGTTCAGGGCACAAGCAGTGCAGGAGGCAGCCAATCGCTGTTTCTATCTCACATAGATGTTTCTCTCTCTTTAAAAATCAATTTTTAAAAAATCCTAGACTTTTATAATGATGCTTTTAAAAAGAATTTTCCATTTATTAGTTATAAGCACTTTTAATCTACTTCATGGTGAAACACGTCTTAAATGGCAAAAGCTTTGCTCTGCACCAGTATCAGTTTTGCTGGTTCTATGTTAAATCAAAGCTTTTAACATGATAAAATTATGTCCATTTAAGAAGAATGAAAATTTGTCTCTCAAGATAAAATGACTAGAAAGTATAAATGGGGGCAAAAAGGTCCTGTTCATAACCAAAAACAAGAAAAAAATCAACCTAAGAGTAAATTTAACCAGAAATGAAGACACTCCGGAATTTTACAGAGGCATATTCAGAAAACAAAAACGGGAGGGAGGGAGAAAGAAAGAGAATTATGAGGGGGGGGAAAATTAAAATATTGAAGATTGCACCAATTCCTAAAGGAGAGGTTTAAAATATTTATAAGGACACAAGTCCCCCAACTGAAGCTATACATTTAGTGTAATTCATATTGAAACCCAAGAAAGAGTGTGGGGTTTCGCTGGGGGAAGGGAGAGTTCAAAAGGCATTCTAAACTGCAAGTAGAGAACCAGAGAATAACCTCCCAACCCCAACACATGGACGGAAATGGGAGGAAAAAACAACAACAAGGGGGGCTTCACACTAGCAAATTAAAATACAAAACCTCAAAAGTTAAAACTGTAATTCTGGTATAGAAACAGACAGACAGATGAGGGGAAAAACATAAAGTCCAGAAACAGATCTCAGAACAGAGTGCGTCTCAGAGGGTAGATTACCAAGTTATCACGCAAAGTGGAAAGTCTCATTCAGGAATAAACTAACCAAGAAAAGTCCTGGGTCATGTCAAAATCAGCAGGAGCTGCACAGCCGAAGCTCAGAAGCCAAAAACTCACTGGTATTGCTTCTCTTTGCATTTCATCTCTCCCACCTCCACAGCTGGTAGCAGGAACACAAGGATGCTATTTATGAGAATTAAGTATTTGATAAGAGAGCTACTATTCTATTTAGTAAGACTATAATAATATAATATAGAGTACGAAGGCAACTGGAATGGTCTGCAATGTGGCCAGGTGAGGCAGGCACCTTTGCCCTGGCCCATCATGCCCGGAGAGAAGAGCAGCGGGGGGTGCAGGCACTGCTACCAGACACATGCCCAGCCTCATCCAGGCTGCATCTAAATGAGAATCCTCTAAAAATTTTAAGTAGCAAAAATGTTGTACAATAGGATCAAGATCCTGTTTAGGCTGCCTTGACCTAGGGAAAAAATTGTTTCCCCTCCATTAATCAACCGCACATTCATATGTATGAATGCTTTGAAAAGCTAAACGTTACAGTAACAGACTTTGTATAGTGAAATTAGAAATAATTTCTCTTAACTTTTACATTTTCCATACCATGCATTTGGTATGTCAAAAGAAAATGGAAATATTATCAGAAAGAAAAAACATAATATGAAAGACCATCTCCATTCTAGTTAACTGTTAAGCTAACATCTACATGTTTTCATCCCACATAAGATTAATCTACCAAGGTTTCTAGCAATAATAGAATTCACAGTAGGGAGGAAATTAAGAAATTTTTCTCTATTGTTAATGTTAAAGAAATAATTTTAAAAGACTGAGGGGGAAAAGCAAGCACATAAACCATTCATTCTGTAAGATGATTCATGCAAAATCATTTTGTACAACACAACACCACCAAAGTTATCCTAATGCACTGAAAACATCAAAATCTGCAATGTGGTAACAATATTTTTCTTGTCAAGATATTTTTCAGTGTTGCAAGTTAATCATCATTTGTGAATCTCATGCCTCAAAATAAAGGTGACCAAATGTTTTTTGAAAAGTAATTTCACTCTAAGAACCCACTGACAATTGAAGGTACTTACTCATACACTCATAGCTAAACAGTAATATCAAATGTTAAGAGCTCAAGGGTACAAAGAACTGAGTTCCAAAACTAAGGAACACTTAAATAGGTCAATGATTAAAGTACATTATTCAGTATTTTTCATAAAGTACAAAACTTGATAAAACCTGATAAAAACTTTGGCACACTGTTTCCCACACATATTATAAATTCATTGTCAGGTTACATCAAAACATCACCAGTGATAGCAGTAAAAATGGTGGAGAGTAAGGAACCCCAAAGTGCACCCCTCCAAAAAACCAATGAAAAAATTGGTAAAACTGTCACAATCAGCTTTCTTGGAATTTGGGAAACTAAAGCTTGCAGGGGAACACTTAATCAAGAAAAGCCAGGACATGTCAGTAAGAACAGCAAGCTCTGTGGCATTTTACCTTGCCCTAGTCCCAACCCCAGCTCTCCGACTCTGGTAGCCTTGAAGTAAGACCTTGCATCTGGGCCACCAGTACCAGAAGGAGCAGAAAAGGCTTCATTCTTAAAGAATTGTAATTATTTGTTTGGGCCCGTCTGGTGGTTTTTAAAAAAACAAAAAAGACAAAAAAAGCATTTGCCCTATTTTGTCCAACTCAGCATTCAGCCAGTGCTAAAAGGTCCATATCGAAGACATTTACCAGCAAAAGCTTTACCAGCTGCTGCTGCCTGAGGTAATGGAGAACAGTTGGACTGAACAGTAGACTAATGAAAAGCTTTGGAGGAAAAGCTGGGGGTGAGATGCTTTAGGGAGTAAGGGCTCTGAACAGCTCTGACACATTCCTAGAAATCTAGAAGACCACACACGTGCTGAAAGACCAAAGAGAGCTGGGTGGCCATACAAATATCAGAAAAAAACATACTTGAAGACAAAACTTGTTACACGAAAGAAAGGACAAAAAGTCAATCCATCAAGAACATATAACAATGATAAATATATGCAAACCTAACGACAGAGTCCCAAAATACATGAAGCATAAACTGACAGAACTGAAAGAAGTAGGATATTCAGTAATAGTTGGAGACTTCAACACCCTATTTTCAATAATGGATATAAAACCTAAGAAAATGTCCAAAGGAAACTGAAAATTTGAACAACATAAACCAAATAAATCTAATGTATCTACAGAACACTCCACCCAAAAAGAGCAAAAGACATACTCTTCTCCAGGGCACCTGAATATTCTCCAGGACAGACCATATGTTGGGCCACAAAACAAGTCTCAATAAATTTTAAAAGATTAAGGTTATACAAATGTGTTCTCCAATCAGAATGGAATGAAATTAGAAATCAATAACAGAAAGAAATCTGGAAAACTCACCCTAGATATATTTGCTTTTCTCTAATTTTGCCAAATGTGTACCCTAAACATTATATTAGAGGTTCTGGCCAGGGCAATTAGAGAGAAACAAAGAAAATGCATCCAGATTGGAAAGGAAGAACAAAACTGTATTTGCAGATGGCATTATCTTCTATATAAAATAAAATCCTAAAGTATCTACAAAAAATCTATTAGAATTAATAAAGAATTCAGCAAGGTTTTATAGTCTATACCAAATGATACTGTTTGGAGGCTTTATAACCTGGAATTACTGGGATTTTCACATCAGTGATGCTCTTTGGAAAAAACCTAAGTAGTTTAAGATAAATATTCAATTTACCTTAAAATGCTTAGTTGAACAGAGTCAATTCTACATTAAACATTGCAAATTTTGACATCAGGGTATCAGGGTATCATTTTGTATCGCCTGCCTCTGTCTAAGAAACCACCAGGATGAGTCACAGGAGAAAGAGCACAGAACTTAGAACTGGCCACTTGGTGGAGAAAGCCAACTTCCATGGAATGCTCTAATTCACAAATTTGTAATTAACAAATGTAACTTAAGCAAAAGATAAATCACTAAAAAGCATTTCCCCAGATTAGACAGGACTAAACTAGCCTCCTCGGATGTGAAATGCTCCAAAACAATAATAAGAGACTCTAAGGGGCTTCATGTTTCAACAATAATAACCACTCTAGAAAGTCTGAAATATCCCACTAAGGGGTGGGAATTCAAGTAAGTTCCAAAAAAAGATTAGCTTTAAGAGACTATCAAATTCAGTAAGATCTGTCCACTATTATCAAATCAATAAATATTGATATTTTTCACAATCAATTACCCCCCCAAAAAGGAAAAGAGCACTCACCTCTTCCAAGCTAGGCAGCGAAGAAGATGATACTGCTCGAGATGACAGTGGGTGAAACGGCTCTTGACCAAGAGCGTGTTGATGATTCTGTATTTGTACAAAAGGGTTCTGTGGTGGCCTGTGAGGCAATGGGGGTAGGCCATAGGGAAAACCCGGCCCAATTAGGTGATTCTGTTGTAAGTTAGCAAAGGTCCACGCTCCATCAGGTGCCAGGTATTTCAAGGGAGGAGGGGCAAGGTGTTCAGATGGCAACGAGAAAGGAGAGCTGAATATCTGGGGTGGTAGGCGCTGTGGAAATGCTGGGCTGTTGGCTACTTCAACGTCTCTGCTGTTGTCGTTAAAGTTAGAAAAGTGGCTACTGTGGTCTGTACTGGAGGGGGGAGATGGGACTGCTGGTGGGCTCCTAGTCTGAATTTGTCTATATTGCAAAAGTCTTGATTGAGGTGGTGGCATCTCAGCTAGTTCCCGTGCTTCACTTTGCTCACGACTGGACAGTTCTCTGAGTAAGTCCTGAAACCTATATAAAGACGATGAAATATGAGGAGAGAAAACAAAAGAAAGGCTCCGTCACATTCAGAAGAGCTTTGTCAACTACATGTGCAATTTCTACAAGCAACATCGTAATGCGTAAGTTGAACTAACATTAATTAACCTCAAATATAAGCATTAACACGCAACAGAAGCTGAACTGAAGACACTAAATATGCCCAAGTACCTGATTTCTTTCTTTCCCCTGAGTAGTAAAAACAACTGTCCTTGTCTCTACATGCCCTTGATAACCGGCCGTGATAAAAGGCCACCATAATGGTGGACCTTATTCAGAAGGAATTAGGAAACATGCAGTGCACTCGCATGACACTGACCACAGAAACAAGTTCAGAGTCAGGACTGAACACTCGTAAATACCTGCGGTTACAAGAAGGTAGATTCTGTGCTACTAGGAAAAAAGTTAGTAACTTTATAAGTTTTAACTTTTAACCATTGATTTTACTTCTGTTTTCTTTCATTCTTTGTAAGTATTACTACTGAGAACGAAAAAAACATTACTGAGAGGGATGGTATGTTTCCCTTTTAGAAGAGACCACACATCACTTCTCGGCTTTTCAAAGGAGACCAAGTGCAGAAGAGACCACAGAGCAAAGGCCCATGTTAATTTGCAGTCCACAGCAGACTGTCCAAACCCAGATCTGCAGAGATACTTCTAAACTGATCCTCTACATTTTAGAGTCAACCAACAGAACTGTGTGGCATGTGCCCAGAAGGCCAGTGTCCAATTTCTTTGGGACAATATTCCAACTTGTGGCTGAAAGGACAACATAATGAAAAGAGCGGTAGGTCACGCTTCAGAGGCTGGCTTCAACTTCACTGCAGAAATACCTTGACTCTGCTGCTTCTGCTTCACCCTCAGCACTGCTGGGGAGCTTCCAGTCTGCCCTCATCGGCGGCTGATGTAATCCAACGGGCGGCTGAGGAAGGTGCTGGAGATGAGGGTGAGGATGGTGATGGTGTGAGTATGGAATGCTGCCCTGACTCAGATAGGCGTGATGCTCATTCCACTGCTGTAACCGCACTTGCTGCTGCCGTAATGTTTCCAGGGCTACACTCCCATGCATACGATCTGCCAAAACATTTGTGAAAAGTTTAAGTTTTCATGCATTTGGGGTTTCCAGTCAATTTTTTCAAGAATTTTTACAACCAGATTTTCTCCACAAAGAGAAAGAAATGGCTAGTTTGAGTTTTGGAAAAAGCAAATGTTTTCTAAATTTTCCAGTAACTAGAGTTATGGTAATGATGATGATGGTTCTTCCTTAGCAACATAATCATGTAACCTGGCAGTGACTGGATGTTTAATATTATATAGCATTTGGGACTAGATTCTGATTATTACGACTAAGTGATTGATTTTTGCTGACACTGTTTAAAGAAATGAATCAATACTGATCCACATTAACACTGCATAGTACATGTCATTTTAAGCATAGAATCTCTGAATTTGTCACATTCAGCAGTGACAGGAGAACTTACCTAAAGCCTCCCCTACAGGCAATCCTGGGGGGTTCTCCTCGGTGAAGTTATTCAGAGGTGAAGGAAGAATGGGGCCGGGCTGTGCAATGGCTCGCAGGGGACTGTGGCTTTCTTGCAGCATGGGAGGGGGCTGCTGCTCAGAGATCACAGCCTCTGCAGGAGGGGTCTGTGGTCGATGAGAAACTGCATTATTAAAAAAAGCACTGTTGGGCCCTGCCTGGTAGGCAGGAGAAAGCTGAGGAGGTGGCTGCGGAGGCAGCTGATTCAACGGATTCTGCTGCTGGGCTACCTGATTTGGTTGTGGTGGCATTTGATTTGGTTGTTCAGGCAAATTATTCTGCTGCTGATTTAACAAGGCGTGCTGCTGCGGAACTGGAAATGGTGGTCTTGGCAGCTGAGGAAGGGGATGAAAGTGACGGCTGGGGACTGCATACTGTGGATGGGGAGCGGGAAGGGGAAGGTTTATGTGTCTTGGGTTGAGATTATCTTTGCGATGAAATTTGGTATTGGGATAAACAACGCCAGGACGTGATTCAGGACTTCTGTTCTGTGGATGTGATTCCAAGTCAATCTAGGAAAAAAATGAGAAGTCTTTTAATAGTGGAAAATTCGAGTCCTATGGCTCTCCACCTTTTCCCGCCCCCAGCACATCTTAAGAATATCATACATTCTTATCAGTAATAGCAGGAGTATGGGGGACCCAATCAATCACTTTCTGACAATCAAATTAGGGAATAAGTATTTCTTAAATTAGAAAAGATGAAACAGATAAACAGCAGATTAAATCTGAGTCAAAAGAAGAGATATTGCCATTTTATTAGCATATCCACTTTAATTCCTTTAAAAAACATTATTTTTAATTTCACACTTTCTTCCTTGGAAGATAACCATTTATTTATTTCTGATATAAATCATTAAAATGTTATTTCCTTTTGATTTTATTGTTTTTACATTTCTCTCTCTTCGAATATATCTATGCTAATTTTAACAACCTGAAGTCAACAAATAATTTATATATCACCTTTGTATAAACAGTTTGGTTGTCAATTTTTGCCATTAGATATTGACATTTATTCCTTCAAGAAACATTTTTTGAGGGCTTACCAAGGGCATTGTGCCTGGTGCTGAAGATTAAAAACACTAAGAAGATTTCGTCAAGAGCTTAGAGCAACAGGGGTTGGCCAACTATGGCCCCCAGGCCATTTTTGGCCCAACAGATTTGTGTAAGTTTTACTGGAATACAGGCAGCTCATCTGTTTATATACTGGCTGTGGCTGCTCTCTCATTATAATGGCAGAGTTGAGTGGTTGCAACAGAAACCATATGACCCACAGAGCCTGAGGATTTACTATCTGGTCTTTTGCAGAAAAAGGTTGCTAAACCCTGGCTTAGAGTCCAGCAGAGGACATCAACACCTAAACATCAAATTAGAAGTGCTGTAAGAGGAAAAGATGAGATCCTAGAGCCTGGGAAAATGTAAAGTGACTTCACACAGGCTGCGGCATTTGAGTTGAATCTTGCACAAAGAGCCAGAATTTTCTTGGGAGGGAAGGGCATTCTGGGTAAAGGTAACAACTTATACAAAGATGGAGAGAAGAAAAAAATATGGCTCATTTGAAGAGCATGGGAAGTTCTGTGTACATAGAGCCGTAACGTCGCTTGTTTCTATGTTAGTTTTCCCCTTCTTGACATCAAATGAAGATGCGAGAGCCGAATCACACACGACCTTGAATGATTCAATCCTAGGTATATACTGTTTTTAATCCTGTAAACTGTGGCAAGTTCCAAAGGTTTGTAAGCTAGGGAATGCTGCCATCCTGAAATGCAAGTCTGATCATAAATGGTGACAGTGTAAAAAATGAAATATAAGGTGGAAAGAGGCAATTTTTCTTTCCCATCTCTGTCAAAACACTCAATGAGCTGCTTTGGTGCATCAATGTCCTTACAAGTTACAATGCTGAAATGGTAATTGAGGATTACTTGTTTCACCAAAGGCTCTCAGGTTAGACAAGGAACCGGCCACTCCCAAGAACACAGAACAAGTAGCTTGTTCCTGAAGTGAAGCTGGGGTACACCTGGTGAGCAAGCTACGGCAACAGATGGTTTCAATGTGCCTGTCAAGCCCCAAGTGCACTCTCATCTCTCATCACTAGCTCTAATGGACTGACACTATATTGGGCCAATAAGGTCCTTAAGATTACTAGATGCATACAAATTGGCTAGAAAATGACGTGAGAAGGATGACAACTCTGTCCTAGTGGGCCCAAGATGCTGTAATGCCTGCTCTTCAAATGTCTCAGAACCTGATTAAAGTTCTTTATAAACAAACATTTTGCCCCATAAATTTTCATCTTTTTAATGACTGAAGCTACATTCAGCTGGGATGTACTTTTTCAAAGACTGTTGATATGCAAACTCTGATTGCATGAGGGAGACCATGATTAGACGTCAAGGCTGTTCGGGGATAAGCCGCTGTTTTAATTGCCTCCTTCACTTCTGACTTCGACATGGACAGGAAGCTAGGCAGCGCCACAGAAATTTAGATCAAGATGTGCTACTTTATGATACGACAATGGGCTAGGCAGGACAGAGGACTGTAAGGTCTGAAGGAGTCTGAGTCTACTATTATCAGAACTAAATTATCACTTTCCTCCTAATACTGAGTTCCCAGCTCAAGGAGAGCTAGGAAGTTTTTTTCCACAGCACAAAGCATCAGGGTGGGAAAGAAAAAATGAAACATGTCTATCAAGTTGCCTAGTCTCCTAACAGGGGAGGATCATAATGGACATTTAAAAACAAGGACATGAAAGACACTTAGCTATCCTGGCTCCAGTTGCTCTGACAGCACCTAATACCCTTAACACACGCTTCATTTTGTCCTAAGCAGCTTTTAACTACAACTGTCACTGCCACTGCACCATCCTAACATGCCGTGTTCTCTCCTTGCTCCCCTCCCAAACGACAAGACTTCTATGTTCACTGCCCCGGCCCTCTTACTCTACTGGGAAGTCCCCTGGCTGCCTCATTGCCACTGCAGCTCCTCCAGTGGGCACGGGCTGGGGCTGGAGATACAGATCTGGAAGTCATTATCATGGAGCAGGTATTTGAAACAGGAAAATGCACTGGTTTGTAATAAGAAACCATACTATGCAAAGAGAGGTGTGGGACAGTGACACAACCCTGAAAAATCCCACCTTAAAGACCAGGAACAGATGGGAAGGAAGTGACAGGAACTTATAATAAAAGGGACAGAAGGTCATGTTGGAGAGTGTTGTGAAAAGTAGAAATGTGTGTCACAGAAACAGAAAGGAAACAAGATGGTCAAGATGAAAGGTGTAGAAAATAGTGCCAAACACCAAAGATAAATCAACTAAGACTACAACTAATGAGGTGTTCATAATGTTTGGTCCCTTAGGACTCAACAGTTTTGGTGAACTGCTGAGGCCTGATGCTAGGCCATGCTGAGTAAGGGGCAAATAAAAGATGAGGTGGGGAGGGGGAATTAGGTAGTAGCTGTAAGATGACGGAGGTCAAAGGAAGTGTCTTTCAAAACATCCTATCAATCAATTTACTTATGGGCTGAGGAGGAAGAACCAGTAGCTGGAAAGAATCTAAAGATCAATGAGAAGAAGAAACAGGTCTGTGAGGCTACCAGAAGATTCGTTTTCATGGGAACCCCTCATCTAGCCTGATGACAAGGAAGCAAGGATGCTCAAGGGTGTAGGAACATGGTAAGTCTAAGGTTCTAAGTTAATGGAGTGAAATCCTGATGACAGAGATCTAAGCAAGGTGATCTCCTGATACTAAGAGTAATAAAAGGTGGAAGATAATCAGGCATGAGAAGAGCCGCTAAGAAAATTGGGCAAAAGGAGCCAGGCACAAGTCAAAGAAATGTGGGAGAGTCCAGGTTCCCGGAGACTAGAAAACATGGATCTCCAGTGGCACTAATTCAGCCAATGATTTGATTTTCCCTAACTGGCTCACAGCACAGAGCAGAGAAAGTAGACAAACAAACCGATACCGAGTTAAAAATTTATACGGAGGGTATGAGGAGAGGGCCAGGTGAAGGGCTTGAGAGAGTTACACCTTCCTTCCTCCGAGGCAGCTAATTCCTGCTTCACGATACAGCTCCTCCTATTTTGAGGCAATTTTTAATGGCATATCTCTTAGCTGTGTCTTCATTTACTACTTTATCATGTAAAGTCTCTATATTCAAGTCTATCACTGAGCTTCACTATTTGGGAAAAGTATACTGATAACTAATAATGTAGCCAAAGAAAAGGTGGAGGGAGACAGGGTAACATGACCACCAGACCACTGTGAAACAATAAACAAAAAATTCACATAAAAAGGTAAATGAGTTTTTTTAAACATTAAGATTCCAAAATGATCGATCAGATTACATCCATTACAATAACACAGTCACTAAAGATAAGCAGCATACCTGTTTTGATTCTGTAGGCTTTTTCTCTGGTGTTCGAATCTTATTAATTTCAGGTCCAGGATTATTTGTATCACTTTTACCTAAGGAAATATTTTAAAATTCTTATAAATAGTCTCCAGTGGATGTTATATTTTTGATGACTATTCAATGTTAGACAAAAGAAGTAAAATATTTTAACATTTTTCACCCATTATATCAATTTAGATTACTGCTTGAGTTTTGTTCTTAAATTTTCAGAGGCAGTTTCTCTGCAAGAAAGAAAATTCATAAATATAGCAAACCTCATTGACAAGGCAAAAGCTTAATAAAGGGATAATCTTAAAACATCATAATTCCAAAGATAATTGCCCAATCTCCAGGTATTTCAGCCTAATTTTCTTAAACTAGACATAGAAAAAAACCTGGCATTCTTGCTTATTTATAAAGGTTCAAAAACCTGGCATTCTCACTTATTTAAAAAGGATATAAAATTGCATTTATAAATGCAATTAAGCAAAATTGAAATAATGTGTCGATCTGATTTAGTAAAGGAATCTATACTGAATGAAGATATTCTGCAAGAAATGTAGTTATACTGTTTAAAATAGATATCAAACTAAATATAAGTGAAAGATAAATAGTAGATGAAGCAAAATTAAGGTTAAAAATATCAGAATTATAACAGATAATGCTATTTCATGCATGTGAAAGGCTTTTAATATATAAGAAGTAACTGCTGGAAGTTTCAAATTCCTTGAAGGGATCCACGATTTCGATTCTTGTTCTAAAACATTCCTTTAGGGATATGACCAAAACCGTAAAATGACTTATCTAAATGCGAGGATAGCCTTACTACTAATCTTCAAGAAATAAAAACTACACAGTCTAAGTGAAAAGTACACTGCATGAAATTAGGAGCAGGTTAGACAATCCAGAAGAAAAACTTAGTGAACCAAAGGCAGAGCAATGGAAGCTATGCAAAATGAAATACAAAATGAAAAATAATTTTTTTTTAAAATGAAAAGAACATCTGTGAAATGTAGGGAAAGTTTAAGCAGACTAATATATGGGTAGTTGGAATTCCTGAAAAAGGAAGAAGTGAGACAGAAAAAAATATCTAAAGAAATAAAGGGTCAAAATTTTCCAAATTTGATGAAAACTGTAAACCTACGCATCCAAGAAGCTCAAAAAGCCCCAAACACAAGAAGGATGAAGAAAACTACACCAAGAAATGTTATAACCAAATTACTAAAGCCAGTATAAAAGAAACTCTTAAAAGCAGTCAGACACATTTCATACAGAAAAACAAAGATAAGGGTGACTTCAGATTTCTCTGAAAAAATTTCGTCACCAGCAGACCTGTACTACAAGGAATGTTAAAAGAGCTTATAACATATATAAAAGTAAAATGCATTATAACTATATCATAACGTCCATGAGAGAAAAAAATGAAATACTGCAAGGTTCTTTTACTGTACATGAAGTGGTAAATATAAACTGGAAAGCAGACTGTGATAAGTTTAGCATATGCACTATAATCACTAAAGAAAATACTAAAATAATAAAGTTACAGCTAGTAAGGCAACAAAGGAGATAAAACAGAATAATAAAAGTACTCAGATAATTTAAAGAAGGCAGAGTAAAAGGTAAAGGGAACAAAAACCAGATTGGACAAATTAAAAAGCAGATAGAGCAAGATGATAAAAATCAAGCTTAACTGTATCAATAATCACCTTAAGTATAAACGGTCTCAACAACCCAATTAAAAGAAAGAGATTATCATACTGGATTTTTTTAAAAATCAAGAGCCAACCATATGCTATCTAAAAGAAGTGCATTTTAAATGTGAAGACGCAAATAGATTAAAAGTAAAAGGTCAATAAATGATATACCGTGCTAACATTAGTCAAAAGAAAACTAAATGACTTTACTGATTTTAAGCGAAGTAGATATCAGAGGAAAGAATATTACCCAGGATAAAGAAGATCATTCCATGGTGATAAGTGAGTTACTTAAGAACACAGTATTTTAAATTCTATGTACCTAATAACAGAATTTCCAATTTCATCGAGCAAAACTTAAAGAAAAAATAGACAAATATCAATTACATTTGAAGATTTTAATATTCCTCTCTCAATATTTATTTTTTTTAAAGTAGGCAGAAAATCAGAAAGGATATAGCAGACTTGAACAATCCTATCAACCAATTTGACCAAATTAACATTTATAGAGCACTCCTTTCTTCTCAAATGCATGGGGAAAATTTACAAAGATAAACCATACCCTGGGTCATAAAACAAATCTCAGTCAATTCAAAAGGATTCAAGTCATACAAAATATGCTCTCTTACCACAATGAAATTAAAACAGAAATCAATAATAGAAAAATTCTTAGAAAATCCCCAATAATTCAAAAATAGAATTCACCTTCCTAAATAATCCATGAATCTAATTTCAAGAGAAATTAGAAAGTGTACAGAACTGAATTAAATAACTGAATTAAATAAAAATACAACACTGCACTACTGAGGAGGAAAATTATATACACTAAGTACCTGTATTAATCTTTCACCTTAAAAAAATATATGTGCACACTAGCCAGTGTACGGGAGGCAACTAATCGATGTATCTCTCTCACATTGATGTTTCTCTCTCTCTCTCTTTCTCCCTCTCCCTCCCTCCCTTCCACTCACTCTAAAAATCAATGGAGAAAATATCTTCGAGTGAGGATTAACAAAAAATATGTATATATACACACACACAGGGTGTCCCAAAAACATGAATACACACTTTACTAGCTGATAGCTCAATTGATGTTTCTTTCTTTTCAGCCAGGGTAAGCTTTGAACAAAGGAAATTCATCCTAAAATGCTACTGGAAGTTTGAAAACACGGGTGAAGTACAAACACAGCCTTTATAATTATTCAAAATGTGTATCCATTTTGGGGGATAGTGGGCTCTGGCCAGGTGGCTCAGTTGGCTGGAGTGTCGTCCTGTGCACCAAAAAGTGGCAGGTTCGATTTCCGGTCAGGGTACGTACCTAGGTTGCAGGTTTGACCCCCAGTTGAGGTGTGTATAGAAGGCAACTGATCAATGTCTGTCTGTCTGTCTCTCTCTCTCTCTCTCTCTCTCCCCCCCCATCCTCCCTCCAAAATCAATTGGGGGAAAAACATGTCCTTGGGTGAGGATTAAAAATACAGAGACAGAGTGGGTAATTTTCCCTTATTTACAATTCTAGAAGACAAGAGACTATGACTTGCATAAGAAACAACTACTTTAAATCAACTATTGCCACAGTAGCATTAACGTTTAGTATGCAACAAAAATATTTTGGGTCAACAAAAATGTTTAACAAACAAGGGTTTCCCGTCTCAATCTTAAATGACTACCAGTTGAAACACTTAAAATATTAAGATTTAATATTTTTTGGGGGGAAACAGGTAATACCAATTGTGAGTGGTAGGTTGCATGCAAATTTTTATCTGTGCCATATCTGTGTCTCCTGGAGGGAGGACCACAGCTTTTACGTCCTATTTCCTCCCTGCGGTCTGCGACGCACAGATGGTTACCAATCGCCCTGCAGGTTCAGGGCCGTGGGAGCAAAGCGGCTCACCATCCGGCTGCTCCTGCGGCTCCTTCTCCCGGGGCTGGCTCTGCGGCTGTCCCACGCTGACAGGCGGATGGTGCCCAAGGCCATAAGGCAAAGGAGACCCCCGGCCGTGTGTCTGCAAGAGGTTCATGTTGTAGGCCATCGCTGCCTGGTGGGTAATGAGTCGAGGGTCAACTGCAAATCTACCCTGGTATCCTGTCCATGGTACCTAGGTTATTACAAGAAACAAAATAATTTCATTACTCTAGCAGTTTTAGAAGGCAAACTGCTATAGTGCTGTGATGAGGAAAGAGCAAGCACACACACAGACATGTTAATTTTATCAAAATAAGTACAACGTCAATGCTAATGGTAACAACTGGTTACTGCTACATCTCAACTGGCCTGAAACGGCTCCCTGAATCTTTAGTGTGTAAGGGAAAATTTACCATTTTACAGGTTAGGAAGAAACTGAGGACTTAAAATTGGTAATTATTCCTTGAAGCACTAAATCATTATGTAGTCTTGAGTCAGTTTCCCTCAATGAATGTACACACATCACAGATCACCATGAAAACTATATTTTAAAGCCATAAGTACAGAGTTATACAATTTAATAGACTGAATAAGAGAACTGGGGGAAAATTAAGAAACAACTTAGTCTAAGCAGTCTCAACTCAAAAAACAGGTACTCCAACTTTATACGAGTAACCAAATCACTGAATGCTATTCATCACAGGCCAGATTTAGAAAGGTCATTAGTTTAACCAGTGCCTTGATTAATTCAACTCTCCCTTTAAACACAGAAACAGACATCTTCTTTAGGTGTGTATGTATGTAATCCCTGCATATTAACATAAAAGGGATAAATAAAATGATATCTGAGCTACCTCCCTATTATTTTATTGTAACTGCTAAAGGCAGGCTCTGAGAAATCTTATATAATAAAAGTCTCTTTGACCTAGTAAAATGAAATATAAATCCTAAGGGACTTACTATTTAAAGCAGATGATGTATAATGTTGCCAGGTTGTCTGGGAAGAAATCACTCAGCTAAAATTGAAAGTCTGTGGGGAGTGGGCATGAATTACATATTTCTTACTGACAGTTCTACTCATTGGCTGCTGTGAGTATGAGCTTTCATGATCAATGTGGCTGAGAAATAGTTGCAGCTTGGCATTTTTCCATTTTTGGGGTGTGGGCAGGGGTGCCAAAGATCCTTGGCAATGATCACCTTTGCCTGAAATTACAGCACTTGCCTTAAATGAAAGAAAGGCTTTTTAGGCTAAAATTCCTGAATTTGGAAATATTAGTATATCAGCAAATTAACAAAATTACCCAAATATTCAAATATCTTAAAGGAAATAAAAATGGGTTTTACACAAGATGGAAGTCCTCTAACGATCACAGTCTTAGAAAGGATTTAATAATGTTTTTAAGTAGCAGTAAGATTTCATAAGGTGTGGAATTTCTCAGATAAATTTAGATCCAAGGGAGTTAGATTAATCCAAGCCTCTGTGCCTCCTCTATATTTCTTAGGAAGAGTTTGTGAATTATACAAGAATAAAATGCAAAAGATCAAAGAAAACATCACTTGACAAAACAAGAGACCAATTTACTAGCTCTGTAACTTGTAGCCCAATTTCCTAGTAAGAATATTTTAAAAGAATACAAAAGCTTCTCAATCAAAATATCCAATTTACAGATTTCTTCATAGCCACTAGTAACAACGGTAAACAACAATTCACATTTCTTGGTCATTTTAAAATTTGAAGTTTCAAGATAAGAACTGCTTTAAAAGAAACCTACAGGCATTAAAAAGTTAAAAAAAATAAGCTGGTAGAGCACTATTTGGGAAAGTCACTAATTTAGTGAAGCCTATTTTATTCAATAGAAAGTATCTCAAACATCCACTTACAGGTAAAGGCACCGACATAACTACATTCCCTCCATAGACAGCAGGTACATAAAGAATACTTGTCCCAGTGTGAGGATCTATTCTCTGAACAGGGCTTGGAGATTTCCCCAAATTTGGGTGAGGTCCAAGAGGGGGTGGAGGAGTATATGCTCTAATAGGATTGCCAATAAGAACGGAAGGATTGGGCTGAACTGAAAAATAAATAGAGAAAGGGTATACTCAATAGCTGCACATATTCACCTAAACAAAAATAATTTAAATCATCCGACAGCAAAATATATTTCCCAGGTTTGCCACAAGATATCTTAGAATCAAAGAATTATTAGTGTGGAAGAGTAAAACATATTTTAAAAACAACATAGACATTTAAAAATGTTCCCTAAAATTAGCTTGAGATATACAAAGTATTCCTTTTATAACCTAGCATATTTTTAAATGTCTTCTGAGGCTAAAGACATGTCCTTCAAGAGAGAAAACCATGTGCACACCTACACTCTCAGTAAACATTCTACCAAGACTAGGAAAACATATACAATTCTTCAGAATAAAGTTTTGATTTGCATTTGTAACCAAGCCACATACAAAATGAAGGATAAACAATTATTATTTTAAAAGCATAATTATGCAACATTTTAAATAACTGAAATAAACTTTATCTTGAATTTTGTATGACCTAGAATTTGTAGGATATAAATATGTTTCAAAAACTTATGTTGCATAGAAGGCTTAAATGTTTTTCCTCAAAGTTTCTGGATATGTACCTTGGTATCTACAAAATCACCGCTTTTAAGAAAGGACACATGAACACTGGCCGGGTAGCCGAGGCTGTGGGAGTGTTGCCCCGCACACCGAAAGGCTGCGGGTTCAATTCCCAGCCAGGGAGCACACCGAGGTTTTGAGTTGGATCCCCAGTCAGGGTACATACAGGAGGCAATCGATCAATGCTTCTCTGTCACACTGATGTTTCTCTCCCCCCTTCCTCTCTCTCTAAAAAGTTAATAAAAACACATCCTCAGGTGAGGATAAAAAAGAAAGAAATGACTCTGAGTAGAAGAGTTGAGTTCCAAAGTGTCTGAGAGAGAGAGAGAGAGAGAGAGAGAGAGAGAGAGAGAGAGACTTCCCACCCTCCTCTGTCCAACGATGAAACCTGTGGTCAATCTCTTACATAGTAAAAGTGAGTTTTCATAGGGCAAATGTTTCCACTTACCAAGTCCATCATTCTGGAAATGATCATTCTGGGTATGATGGAGGCTTTTCCCCTTTACAGAAAAAACAAAGCAGATAGCAGATGTATAACAAACACATTTAATATTAGAGAACCACAGCCACTTTCCTACTCCCATGCCAATCAAACGCATACAGCAACATTGAAGTGCAAAGGCTATGCGCCTGTAATTAATAACCATTACACTGCTCTAAACCAACTTTCTTTTTAACTATTAAGTCATGGTGCTAGAACTTAAGTGTTCTCAGCTTTAAGTTAAGGATATCTAAAATTCTTTTTTTATAATAATTTTTTATACAAAGAAATATACAACCAATATGAGAAGCCTAAATTCTATTTCTTTGTAGTTTCTCTGTAAATTTTCTATGAATTAAATAACAAAATGTGTAAGTTGTATTTCAAGGGAAAAATATTAGTCTTCAATTCTTCAGGATGAGAACCTTTAAAACAATAACATGAATATAAATATGGCTTGGGATTTACAATAATTTGGGTATGATTCATGGCATCTTAAAGTGTAAAATTGACTGAAAGAACAGAAAAAGACACTTATAATTTGCTTATGAAAATATACAAATTTTCCAGAAAGCAATTTGGCAATACCTATCGAAAGCATTCAAAATGTGCATATACTTTAACCCAGTAATTGCACTTCTGGGAATGTGTCCAAATGAAATAATAATGGATTTGGGCACCGTGTTCATCACAGCACTGTCTCCATATATGATGGTATGTTAACAACCTAAAGGTCCGTCAGTAGAGCATTTACTAAGCCAGCAACGGTGGATCTGTGTAATGGCTTACTAGTCTACCCTTAGAAATGATGACTTTGGAGCAGAAACAGCATTTCAAGAGCCGATTGTTCTGAATTTGTGGACTTGAAAAAATTTCTCTCTTTCCATTGGCTAAATGTAACACACAAAGCCGTTATACAACACAAGTAACACATTACACAATTTACCCCTAGACACGTACAAATTTGCTATTTATACATCTAAAAACTAAAGGAGGCGATAATGTCTTCAGCAAGAAGAAAAGTCCATTTTTGACTAGAGCAAAAGTACACTGATGCTTCATTTATCTCCCTGTCAGCAACATTAAATATTCAGATCAGCACTAAACATCAAAGGTCGGTTGGTTAGTTATGGGTGGGCAAGGACAGCTAAGCTCTAACTTTAAAAAGTAAAAAAAAAAAGTCAAAATAGAATCATATTTGGTCCATTAGCCAGAACACAATCTTTACAGTGATTGGCACTAGCTGTAAAAAACAAACTTCTGAGGAACAGAGATGTGATGAGGAAAACAGGCAGAAGGGGGGGAAGTGAAAAGGAGAAGATGGCAGGCAGCAGAGCTGGCAGGGATGTGGAAAGATCAGCAGAGCAATTAGAAGTGACAAGAGCAGCCAGGGGCACACACACACTGGCAGGAAAGGAGCTCCGATGACACAGTCAGATGATAAAACAGTTCTAAGACGGTAACAAACCATTTAGATTTCTTAGTCTCTAAGGACCCATCAACCAGGGGAAACTGGGTAGTGTTGAAGAAAACAGTGATTTAAGCAGTGTGGGAGGCAGAATGGCCCCCCGAAAAGGTCCATGTCCCAATCCCTAGAACCCCTGAATATGTCATGTTATGTAGCAAAAGTGACTCTGCAGATATAATTAAAGTTACGGACTTAAAATTTTATCCTGCAGTATCTGGATGGACCCAATTTAATCACAGGAGCCCTAAAAGAGAAATTTCTCCAGCTGGAGTCAGAGAGATGCAGCAGAAGGGAAGTAAGGGATGTGGGGGGAGGGGAAGTCAGAGAGATTCCAAGGGAGAGAAGGCTCTGAGTTGTAGGGGCCACATGCGAGAACTGGAGAACAGATAATATTCAGAGGTGGATCTTCTTGGACAAGGCGAAAGCATTATTTTACAGATTTTAGTCTGTGAGCTGTTTTTCACCATCTATCCTCTGCAGTGTTTGTATAGTGTATGAATTTGTTCCATTTTATCAGAGCTTCCAAACACTGCTCCTAGCAAGTGCCCTAGGAGGAAGCAGAATGAAGACAGGCGTGTTGTTTTTCTCGGTGCTAATTCTGCAGGCGCCCATGAAACAGACACGGTCATAAATGATGCCTGGAGGGGGTGAGGCAATGAGGACTGGCAGGGCTACTGTCCCTGGCTGCCATAACATTCTGTACCTTCGCTGACCCTTATCACAGAACTGACACCTTAGTGAGGAGAATGGTGCTATTTGCTAAACAGCCAGAGGTATAGTTTTGTTGACAAACACAGCCTTGAGGCAGAAGTTCCTGGAGCATTTTTAACCACGATCTAGCCTCCTGCTGATTTTAACTATATGAAGTCATTTTGAAATTTTAAACCTTAGTCTAACATTAACAATACTAATTTTTAATATTTCTTATGCCCAGAATTGTGTTGAAAGTTAAACATTAAGGAAACCTGGGGGGAATCTTATCACATTTTCAGAAACAGCACCTTTTTCTATAAATGAAGTAAATTTCCCTTTATCAAAAGACTCCAGCAAATAAAATAAATTATCTGGGATTTGTTTCAAAATTTTCCAGTGCATATATGTAGTGGTGGTGGAGTGGGGGAAGAGGAATGTAGATGAAACAAGATTAAGTTGATAATTAATGAAGTTGGATGATGGGGAATTCACTATACTATTCTCTCTAGTTAAGTAAATATTTGAAAATTTCTACAATAGAAAGTTGAATAAAACAAGACTCCAGTATGAATTCAAACCTCAAAACAATTTCATGGAAATAAAATTTTAAAAATACTGGGGAGAGGAAGGAGGTAAGGTGACAGAAATAACTTTGGCTCACAATACCTCAGTTACGTAATACTACTGATTATTATTACATACGATATAAGTAATAATTTAAAATAACCAGGTGGATAGATAATCTGGTGAACCACTGTGTTATTGACATAAAAATAACAGATGATGTCTACTGGATCAGTGAAGATTCTCCAAAAAGTTTTGAAAACTGGGGAGGTGGCCGCTTTGGCCTTTAATTACACAATCTTCTCACTGAACGAAAACAGCCACACCACTGGGTGCATCATACCCATTATTCACTCATCAGTGACTACTGAGCACCCACTATGTGCACCCACTATGGCACTAGGGGCCATAAAAAGAATCAAGAATAATATTTTTGACTTCAGGAAATTTATGGTTTTGGGAAAGCAAGTGGATTCAACATATATTTTCTTCACTTTTAAAACAATAACAAAAATTGCAGGATCTTGCTTAGCGGCAGACATTTGGCATCATGGCTCTAATCTAGCTAAATCTATAGCACATTAACTGATGCTTACATTGCTCAATTAAATAAGAGTTTATTATATTTAAGAATGTGTAAAGGGCATAATTATTTTGCAACACTTTAAATAAAAATAAAATTTTAAACTTTCTACCTGAAGTCCCTACTCCTCACATACCCGAGGCTACTTGCTGTTCCCTGTAGAGTCTGTAAAGCCTTCTGCATAAGCTCTTTCTTAAGCTTCGGTTATTTATCTAAAAAATACTTCAAAGGACCTATGATGAGCCAGATGTTGTACTAGGCACATAGGCTAGAGCAGTAACTAATACAGAAAAAAAAAATCTCCACCCTAATGGAGCTTATATTCTAGTTTTTGACATGTCTCCCCAATCTCCCACTATCTCTACCCACTCAGTGGACTCCTAAACAAGATATCCATGGTGGAAATTATCTTAAAACCCACCTTCCTCTTCTGGCCATCACCCCTCCAACATCTGCTACTGGAGGCTAATTTGCTTATTTCTGCTTCTCTAGCACCTACCATAAAGCTGACATGATAAATAATTATTTATTAATAGTTTTAGCTTTAGAAATCCAGAAGATTCAGTTATGCAAAATGCTTAATCCCCTAGTAACCCCAAGTCACTAAAGCATTATTGCACACTAGGTTAATTTTTATTAAACTAAGAGTATACAACAGTATATTAACATAGAAAGTAGTTCTATTTTCAGCTTAATACCTACTTAGCTAAAAAATTTTCAAGATATTAAACGATTGACTACTGCTTACACATTAGGTTTTTTAAATGAAGCCCAAAACGGACATACTCTATTAATTCATGTCAGTAAGTTTAATACCATGCTGATGACTATAAGTTCAACAAAACACTGGAACAAATACTAAACATGTCATTCTCATAACTTTCTTTTCTAGATAAGGGCAAGCATTTTTTTTCCAGGCACTCTAGTAAATAAACCAGCTGTCTCTGTCCAAAATAACTATGGTTTAAAAGTAGAAATGGCTTTGACTCTCCCCCCTGCACTCCCTTTGACTGGATTACTTAAGTAACCTTCAAGAAGTTGGCCACATTTTCTCACTGTGTCAAATACCACTTAAAATGAACTAATAGTCAACAAAGGATTAGAACTACTTTCTTTATACAAATATTGTTATAATATTACTCCTTATAAAAATATGCTTTTAATGAGTGTGATAGTCTAGTCTTTTAAACTTGCTTCGTTTTACTCACATCTTACTAAAATAAGTCTATCAGTAGAGAGGACTGGGAGGTTATATTATTCGAAGGACACAAGAAGAAATCAGGCACTTGAAAACTTTGAGGATGATCGTGACATGAAGCATGGCTAACCACACTGTATTTCCGCTTACATGTCCACACTAGATAATTTCCCTGCAGAAACTGCTTGCCACCCAGTGTAACCTTCAATACTTAAAGCAACTAGCAGCCCAATTAACCTCTGACACTTCCGCGCTCTTTCCCCTGTTAGCCTCTTCGGTTTCCTTCACAGGCTTTACCTTGGGGGGTGACTGCTGCAGCTTGCTGGCATTTCCCGAATGCTGCAGTCTTAGAGCCCGCGGGATAAATTCGGGTGCCAGTGGATTCAACACATACGTCTTCTTCAGTTCTAAAGCCTCTAGCTGAGCTTTGATCTGTTCAAAAGTGATTCCGTGTAGGCTATTATTTTCATGACAGAGGGCAATAAACCGCTCCCAAAATTTCCTACAGAAAAGATTTAGAAGATCAGTTTACAATTTCAGTAGATGAGAACACAGAAATAAACACAGCGACTACAGATAATTTCGAATTTCCTCCCCCTCCCCTAACTCCTTAGGTCCAATATTCATCTGATTGATTCAGATATAATCTTCCCACTAAATCACAAAACTTCAAAAGTTGGTTCTGAAATGAGAGCCATGTCTAGAATTGTGGAACATACAAAGTATGCTCTCAATTAATTTTGGCTGATCAATCCCAAGTAACATGGCCAATGCTCAACTAGCCACACTAACCTAGAATGACGGTTTTTGTTATCCACATAAGGATTTCAAAACTGATAACTCATTTTATAGAGGACTTGTTCTTCTAGGCATACTTACATGTACATATACATTCTACACACATCAAATATACATATCACACACCTACACATGCACACACTCACACACTCAAACTAATTTGAATTATGGGGCCAAAGTAGCCTGGTGCTGGACAACAAAGGAAACCCAACTCAGGACATAAATCTGAGCCACAAAGTAGATAAACCCTGCATGAGGATTCTTAAAAAATAACTAGCTACTCCTATACTTCTCTCTTATTTAACAGATGCTTGTCACAAGCATAAGTTATAATATTAATTGACTAAGTTAAGAGTTAAATTAATTATGAAAAATACAGGAAGCTGGAATACTAATTTTAATGTTAATTATTCATTTCCTAATCAAATTAATAAATACTAATGGAGAAAAATACATTCAAAACTTGTGGTTGTACACTGTTGCTCCTAGAGGTTTGAAAACAGATCTCCAATGTAAATAAAATATTAAAAACGTATTACAAAAGACAACATATAAAAAGTTTTAAAATTTTAAGTGACTATTATAAATACGCATACCTATCTTTAATATGAGGTTCAAATAATGTTTTACTTGCTATAAAAGATATGTGAAATGGATTCTTCCCAAGTGGGTATCCTTGTGTCCAGGTGGACAGCGGGTAATCAAGATGGCTTCAAGAAGCATAAATGAAAAGGTTTATATTATAAAAGGTAGTATATATGAATGGGAATTGGATTAACATATTCATAAAACTTTGCAGTTTGATTTCAAACTATGTTTCTCTTACATATGCCTTCTACCATCTTTTCTAATTTTTAAAAATGAGTTTAAAAAATGGGTCCAGCCCGGCCGGGCGTGGTTCAGCGGTTGAGCGTCGACCTAGGATCCAGGCGATCGGGGTTCAATTCCTAGTCAGGGCACATGCCCGGGTTGCGGGCTCGATCAATGACTCTTTCATCATTGACGTTTCTATCTCTCTGTCTCTCCTTTCCTCTCTCTGAAATCAATAAAGATATATTAAAAAAAAAAAAAAAATGGGTCCAGAAAAAATTTCAGGCCTATATGCCAACAACAGAAAAAGTAAATATGCTACAAATATAGGTTGTCCCCCAAAAATGTATGCACTCTTAACAAAATTATTCATTTCTATAATTTCTTAAATTTTGAAAATGAACAGTATATTAATAAACACTGACTTTATAATCATTCAAAGCATATAACATTTTTGGGGGACACCCTGTATTATTATGCATTCTTGCCAATAAGACATAAAGACAGCCATTCAGTTACAGGAAGAATGTGTTGCTAATATACACTAAAATCTGTTCTTTATTTTTATTCTTAAGGACTCTTCTGAAGGAATCAAGGTGGGTTTTTTTCTCATAGCCTAATAGCTAAGGAAGGATTATCTTTAATACAGCACTCAGGGTCTAAAATCCATAAACTTTCCCACCCTTTTGATTTAAAATTCACAATACTCAACTGTATGAATATTTATCAACACAATTCTACTACATGCTGTATTCAAAAGGAAGTTTTTTTGGTCTAACTGATAAACCAAACTCAGGCCCTCCCTAAATTGATAAAGTATCAGTTTCATAGAGGGGCATTTCATATTTGTGTGAAATTTCAAGACACAGCAAAACAACAAGGAGAGAACGGATTGGCTTTTACTCTAGCTCAGTTTTTAATATCAAATTTTTACAATGTATTTTCATTTTCAGCTTACATAGCTAAATGCTAGAACTTGCTCTATTTTCAAGTTACCTTTTAAAACTCCATACCTCGTTCATATACTGCCCTCACTGACCTGAACTTCACTGAGCAGGAGTTGAAGAAACCGTCAAACCACCTCATACTAGTAGCTCCTGACCATCTTTGTCTACAGGACCCCAGGGATCTTGAAGAAGCAGCCTTTGAGCCAAAGGTCACATTTCACAAGTAATGCTAAGCACTTACATAAGTTAATCAAGTTAAACTAGTTCTGAAAGTAACCTGAAATTCCCATTTGAAATCTTACTTCTCTCTTAATTGCCCCATTGATACAGCAAAATGGTCAAGAGCATGGATTCCAGAACTAGACTTGCTTGGGTTTCAGTGTGGCTGCTGTTCGTTCAAGAGCTATTGTGACTTCAGGCAAATTACTGAACCTCTCTTTGTACCTCAGTTTCTTCATGTGTGAAACAGGGCACCAACATCATCATCATCATCATCATCATCATTATTATTATTATACCTCATTATTGAAATAAATGCTTCATTACTGACAGTATTATTATACTTTACTATTGAAAAGACTTCTCACTTTTAAGAGAAACATATTTTTTCCTTTAAAAATTACTAGTTTTAAAGCTAAAATTTTTCCTTTTTCCTCTTTGTGAAGGTTCTTTCAAAAACTATTCACACTGACCTGGAACTTCCTAATACTTTAATGAAATACTATGCATGGCATTATAAGGCATTTCTGAACATGTAACTGAAGGATCACTTGAGAATTTCATCTACATTCAAAATGAGAAGACTTCACCACTATGCTTATTTAAAGCCTTCACTGAAATTCAGGCCCTCCCTAAAATGTGAACATATTATTAGATTAACAATTTTTTTCAAGTGTGTCTCTACATTATAAGTATTTCAAAGGGCATAAACCCTCTTTTAATCACTAGATGAACTAAAATTTGGTTTTGTTTTTATGCTTCTAGGATCACTGATAAAACACTGAAAAATCACTTGATGTCCTTAGGTCA